GCCTCCCATCGGGTCCTGGATGCAGGACAGATGTTTGCCCGCCTACCTTCCCTGTTTCGTGAGGTGTTCTGGGGCTTAGGCAGGAGACAGGCATCCAGATGCCTGGAGCAAGGCAGCAGTTTGGGCACCTAGGGGCCCATTACCCGGCGAATGCAGGCACTGAGTTTTGGGGCCTAATGGGTTTGACAGTTTTGGGAATTGCCGTGGAGCCTAAAGCTGGGATTTAGGCACCTAAACCTTTGTGAGTCCAGCCCTAAGCCTCTATCACGTGGCCATAATATGTAGTGCGGGCGCCCGGCTTCTTCAGCCCCTGGTACCAACGTTGGCATCGTCCTTCTCCGAACCCTTCTCGGCACTGTCAGCAAAGCCGGCCCTCCCCGCAGCCATGCGCATGCTCAGTAGGGTTGCCAGGCAACTGAACTGCCCAGTCGAAAAGGGACCCTGGTGACTCCGGTTGGCACGGCGGCGCAGCAGGTACCCGGGGCTATGGCAGGCTCCCTGCCTGCCTGGCTCCACGTGGCTCCCGGAAGCGGTTGCTCCCACCCTAAGTGCCGGCTCTGCAGCTCCAATTGGCCAGGAACCATGGCCAATGGGAGCTGCAGGGGCGGGGCCTGCAGGCTCAAAGGCAGCACGCGGAGCCTCCTTGTGCCTAGGGGTTGCAGTAAGTGCCGCTGGGACCCCGAACCTCCACCCGCAGCCCAACCCCCTGCCTGCACCTCGCACCGCCCCCTGCACCCCAACCTCCTGCCCGAGCCCGGAGGCCCCTCCTACACCCTAAACACCTCATCCCCGGCCCCACCTCAGAGCCCGCAGCCAGACTCCCTGCCTGCACCTCGCACCGCCCCCTGCACCCTAACCTCCTGCCTGAGCCCGGAGCCCCCTCCTACACCCTAAACACCTCATCCCTGGCCCCACCTCAGAGCCCGCACCCGCAGCCAGACCCCTCACCCCCCTCCCACACCCCAACCCCAGCCTGGTGAAAGTGAGTGAGGGTGGGGGAGAGCGAGCGATGGAGGGACGGGGGATGGAGCTAGCGGGGAGCGGGGCCTTGGAGAAGGGGTGGGTCATAGGCAGGGCCTCGGGGCAGGACAGGGGTGTTCGGTTTTGTGCGATTAGAAAGTTGGCAACCCTATTGATCCGAACCCTTCTCGGTGCTGTCAGCAAAGTGGTCTCTCCCACAGCCACACACCTGCTCTTGCACGGATCAGCTGCAGGTGCCACAGAGCCGGCGTCAGGGGCTGGGCTGACAGCTCAGTTTGGCAGGATTCAATTTTTATTTTTATTAATTTAATTTATTTTCTTTGTTACTGTGTAGCTGTTGTTCCAGGTGCTGGAACTGAAGCGGGCTGGGGGCAGCCTTGGGGCTAGGGCTGCACTGAGGGCACAGCTGCCGGGGGGCCCTGCATGGCTGCAAAGCCCAGGACATAAGGTGCAGGGGAGGCTGTGATGCTGGAGGGCAGCACAGAGACCTCCAGGCAGGGCTGCGAGGAGCAGGAGGAGAATGAGCCTCCCCGTTGCGGGGAGACCACACCAGGCAGGAGCCAGTCAGTACCGGGGTGGCCTCCTGCCTGCAGTGGGGCTGCAGAGGGCCCTGCTCTGCGGTGATGCCCCATCCCTGCCAGTGCGACAGGGGAGACCCCACTCGGGTGATGGAAACTTTTTTAGTCAATTTCAGTGTCAGCTGCAATTGACATTTACTGACCTCTATTGATTTATACCCAATCCTGCTAACCCTACTGATGACACTTGACCCCTGAGTTCTAATTGGCTCAGCCCTCTGATGAGACAACAGGGTGCGACCCGCCAGACGGCCCCCTCCAATGAAAACACCCCACACAGCTTCAGAAATCAATATGGAGCCTAGCGAGTAACCGCTGCGCCCTGTTTCTGGGCCAGGTGATCAGCCTGCGCTCTGTACCTGCGCCGAGACACAACAGCGCAATGTGTTAAGCAAGCTGAAAACCCGTCTGACGGGGTCCTCACACCCCTGTGGATATCGCACGGCTGGACCCGTTACTAGTACCATCCTCATGTCAGGACGGTGTAGGAGACAATGCTGTGTTCGGAAGTTCACTTTCCCTAGGCGCACATAGTAAGAGGGAAGGTTTACGTCACGGTTAGTGAAGAGGTAGCGGCTGAGCTCAGAGAGGAATCTTCACAGATAAAAAGACCAAAATTTGGCTCAATTGATTAATTCTAATAGGACAAGCATTCCACCGGGTTACGTACATGGTTTATAGAGGGGATCCCTGTTCAACTAGGCCAATATCCTCTGAGTGCACAGCACGATCTACCGTGCCATTCAGGCCTTCATTCTCCGGCTCAGGAAAGATGTCCTGACCTGCCCAAGACAGAGAAGGAGTGAGAACATCTTCAATTTTTAACTGTAACCATTTATTGAACCATTGTCAGGCCAAAATTGATACCTGTGAGTTATTGCCCAGGCTTTTCTACAGAGGGCAATCCCGAGGACGGCCCCGCTGCTTCGCTCCTTCTCATTGGACTTCAAACATCACATGTGGGTCACACCTGGACTGTGCTAAACTCTAAAGATGTTCCAGGCAGGTCAAAGGCCTGAGGACTAACAGCGTTTGGGGGAGGGATGCCTGACACCTTCGACGTTTGCCCTGATGCCCTTCGTTTGGCAATGGCAATTTTACTTCTGAACGAGCGCGTCCACACAGGGGCTTTGGGGGCTGTGACTTACGTGCATGGACATCACACCTTTAGTGCCACGGCATGATGACAAACCCTTAATAAGGAATGGGAATAAAGGAAATGGGGGGTCTGCGTTGACGCCTTTGTTTAAAATGTTTTAACTGGTTTCGGTCTGTAAAGGGGGCACAGCAGTCCTACTGTCCCACACTGCACCCTGCCACTTGGTTACCAGTGGGGTTAACCAGTGGGACTCCCTGACACTTGGTTATCAGTGGGGTTAACCAGTGGGACTCCCTGACACTAGGTTATCAGTGGGGTTAACTGGTGGGACACCCCTCTAAATCCATGACTCAGACACACCATTTATGGTTCTTTCTTCTGACTTTCCCCCACGTGCCGAGTGCTGGACAGACCCAGCCCTGGCCCTGAAGAGCCATGAGAGGCCGAGGGGAGGATCTGGTAACCACGGTGAGATGCTGAGATGGGGGCCCAGCCCTTCGGCTATGATGCTCACCCGAACGCAGAGCAAGTTCCTCGTGCCCATCGTGAGCAGGCCCTGCTCTCCCCGCAGAGGCTCTGCCTCGGGCTCACAGGGCAGTGGTGGGATCCGTATCCACCATGCACGAGGTCGCCGTGCTGCAGACAATGTGCCATGGCCGTCTTCAGACAGCAGTAGCAGAATGGCATGCAGTACTCCGACCATGCCACCAGGGGGCAGCCTAGCCTGGTGTGGCACACCACGGTGTGGTGTGGGGGGCAGCCATGGACAGACGATCCCGGTGTCATACAGCACGGGGGCCTGTAGCGAGAACTGGAGGTCGGAGCATGATTCGCTCTGGGGTGGGGGAGCGTCCAGTCAGCCCCAGCAGCACTACAGCCCCCCGGCCCATTGGGAGCAGGGCAGGCAGGAGGCGCACAGGGGTCTGGGGTCTAGGACCTGGACAAGGTACTGGCAGCATGGGCACAGGGGGGGAGATGTGGGAGGCATTGACCACTGGGTACGAGTCTATTGCCCCGAGCTCTGAGCTCTCCATATCCCATTGCTGTGGCTCCCTGCCCAGCCAGTCGGAGACGCCCCAAAAAACACTATAATCAGGGACTTAATTGCAGCCAGTGTCAGAAGGGTATTGGCTGGGAATTGCCTTAGTTTTTGTTTTAATTTAGTATCTATCTATACATCCCAATACACAATCATCTATCCATCCATCCACCCCCATGCATACATCCATCCATCCCTCCCTCCATCCATCCCCATGCACACATCCATCCATCCCCATACACACACACCCATCCATCCCTCCCTCCATCCATCCCCAGGCACACCCATCCATCCGTCCCTCCATCCATCCATCCCCATACACACCCATCCATCCCTCCCTCCCTCCATCCCCATGCACACCCATCCATCCATCCCCATGCACACATCCATCCATCCCCATGCACACACACCCATCCATCCCTCCCTCCCTCCATCCCCATGCACACCCATCCATCCATCCCCATGCACACATCCATCCATCTCCATGCACACCCATCCATCCCTCCCT